TCTGCTGCTGCTGCTGCAGCACCTGCTGCTGCTGCTGCTGCTGCTGCTGCTGCTGCTGTTGCTGCTGGGTACAGAGAGCAGCAAACTGCAGCATCTTATGCTGCAGCAGCTGCTGATTATGCAGCAGCTTAAGACGAAAGAAAACAGCAGCTAGCTTAGCGTTATCTATCCCCCCGAAGAAATGTATATTAAAACTTTTTGTTTTTCTTTTTCCTTCTTCTGTGTTGTATTGTACTCTCCATATATTTTTATTAAAATCTAAATATACACCCTCACAACCACTACGCCAACGAGAAGAGAATAATTTTATATTATTTTTTGTTTTTATTTCTCTGCATGTTTTATATAAATATAATAATAATATAGATGAAGATATACGACCTAATGAATATATTATTGATTCGGGGACACATACAAGCAAAGAGGAGAGATGGCGAGGGAAAGAAGAAGAAGAAGAGACAGAAGAAGAGGAGACAGAGGGGGGAGAAGAAGAGACAGAAAGAGAAGAGGAGACAGAAGAGGAGACAGAAGAGGAGACAGAAGAAGAGGAGACAGAAGGAGAAGAGACAGAGAGAGAAGAGGAGACAGAAGAAGGAGAGAGAGAAGAGACAGAGAGAGAAGAAGAAGAAGAAGAAGAGACAGAAAGAGGAGAAGAAGAGAGAGAAGAAGAGGAGACAGAAAGAGAAGAAGAGACAGAGAGAGAAGAAGAGACAGAAGAAGAGGAGACAGAAAGAGAAGAAGAGGAGACAGAAGAAGGGGAGACAGAAGAGGAGACAGAAGGAGGAGAGAGAGAAGAGGAGACATATAGAGAAGAAGAAGAAGAGACAGAAGAGAGAGAAGAAGAGACAGAAGGAGAAGAGACAGAAGAGAGAGAAGAAGAAGAGACAGGGAGAGAAGAAGGAGAAGGAGAAGGAGAAGAGGAGACAGAGAGAGAAGAAGAGACAGAAGAAGAGACAGAAGAGAGAGAAGAAGAGACAGAAGAGACAGAAGAAGAGACAGAAGAGAGAGAAGAAGAGACAGAAGAGACAGAAGAAGAGACAGAAGGAGAGACAGAAGAGGAGACAGATAGAGAAGAAGAAGAGACAGAAGAAGAAGGGGGAGGGGGAGAGACAGCAGGGAGAGATAAAGAAGAAGAAGAAGAGGCGGGGGGCAAGGGGGGGGATGATGGTGGTGATGCTGCTGCTGCTGCTGCTGCTGCTGCTGCTGCTGG